GGCACGCAGCGGGGGGCTGCAGGGCAGGGGGGCAGGGGGTTGCTGTCCAGGTCCTTCCCAGGCACCACGCTCAGGACTCTGCTCCCTCCCGCGGCGCCCGGGCCCCGGCGCCGCGAAGAAAAAAGAATATACCTCTGACATCTGTCCGTCTGTGTGACCCCCCCGTCTGTCCCCAGCCCTGCCTCCCTGTCTTGTTACCCCCCTTCCCCTGCTGCCAGCACCAAGATGGCACCAAGGTACCACAGGGGGGGACGAGGGAGTGCCCGGGTCACCCCGCTGAGGTGCTGCCCGTGCTGGCTGCTTGTGGTGGGACGTGCTGGATCCCCCAGTCCACCTCCCCTACCCCGGGGCTGCCCCCCACGCCGGGCTGGGGAGTAGAGGGCTCTGGGTTGTTCTAGAAAGCTGCTGGTGCCAGGGCTTCACCACACCTCGGGGTGAAAGGCAGAGGTGCCTGCTGTGCTGGAGTGGGGCCACGGGGCGCTGCAGGGGGGGCTGTGCTAGCAGGGACCCCTCTCAACTCGTCACACAAGTGTTACTATGCAAAGGCGGCCGCTGAAAGCAGTGCCTGGAGAGAAGCCATGTGTCCCAGCTGGGCTCAGCCCCGGGCACTGCCCTGCAGGGCCTCACCCCCACCCTGCCCTGCCCTGCGGAGCTGGGGGGCAGCAGGTACAGCCTCAGGCTTTGGGGAGCAGCTCCCTCTGGCTTTACTGGGTTGTCATGTGCCAGAGAGGGAAGGGATGAGCTTGGGAGGGGGGGAAGTAGAGCCCCATCCTGCAGAGGTGAAGTCCCACAGAAGGTGCTGAGCCCAGGGTGAAGGGCCTTGGGGTGCTGCTGGCCCCAGGGGTGCTCTGTGGCTGAGCCCCCTGTTTCGGGGCATCGTGGCTTGGCGTGTGTGTTTGTGTGTTTTGGGGGTCCCCTGGTGTTACCATCTCCTTCTGAGGTTGCTTGGGGGGCAACGGGAGATGCTGGGCCCTGTTTTGGTGGGGACCACTCTGGAGGGGGCAGCTCACCCCCCCCATTCTGCACCCAGGCAGGGGTCTGCAGGCTCTGGGGTTTGCCCAGCGTGTCCCTCTGTCCCTCCCTCCACCTCGGGGGGTGCCCGGGGCGGGGTGGGCTGCCCTCCCACCCTCCTGGCCCCCTTGGCCAGGGCTGCTGAGCCAAGCTCTGTCCGTTTTTGTTTGTTGATCTGTTTTCTCTCTTCCCTGCTCCTTCCTCAAGATGATTTGTCCTTCACTTTTTCCTCTCTCTCTCTCTCTGTGTCTTTATGAGCTGTGAATATTTTTAACCCTGTAAATACTGTCCAGCTCTTAAGAAACATAGGATATTTTATCAATTGTAAATCAGATCAGTAATCCCTGTACGATATGAACTATCCATGGGTGGTTTTCAAACTCAGGTTCTGACGGACCAAATAAAAGTTTTGTTTTGTGCAGAAGGTGCCTGGTTTCCCTGCGCCGGGGGGGGCGGGG